CCCAGCTTCACTCCCCCTCCTGCAGGAGCTGCCTGCCTGCCTGCCATGCCCTTTGGGGTGGACAGTCAACCTGTGGAACTCCTTGCCAGAGGAGGCTGTGAAGGGTAGGACTGGAACAGTTTTAAAAGGAGCTAGATACATTCGTGGAGGTTGGGTCCATAAAAGGCTTTTCGCCAGGGGGTAGGAATGGTGCCCCTGGCTTCTGTTTGTCAGAGGCTGGAGAGGGATGGCAGGAGACAAATCGCTTAATCATTGTCTTCGGTCCACCCCTTCTGGGGCACCTGGTGCTGGCCACTGTCGGCAGACAGGATACTGGGCTAGATGGACCTTTGGTCTGACCCAGGACGGCCGTTCTTATGTTCTGGGAGCAGGCAACGGAAAGACCCAGAGAGTCGCAAACAGGCACCCGCACCCTGCAGGGAAACCCCATGTGCGTGGGAAAACCCGGGCCAGGCCCCTTGGGCTGGGCGCTGGATTGGCAGAAGCATTTCCAGGGTGATTGGTGCAGCTCGGCTTTTCAGCATGTTAGCCCCCCGACTCCTGGGTTTGACTTCCCTGGACGCAGGCCGAGCTTTTCCTCTGTGGTGGGCAGGGTGGCTGCCGGGGGGTCCTGGGCGCAGCTCCCCTTTTAGGCTGTGTGAAACCCCACCGTGCAGGTGAGTCTGTGACACGGCTTATCCCGCCTGTGCGCCTCGCCCATGAGGGTCGCTCCCCGGCCCGGAGGGAGCCGCTCTCAGAAGCGGTGCCGAGTGGGCTCCAAGTCTCCCCGTTCTGCACTGAGGTACAACACCCAAGCCAAGGAGACAGCGGCTTTAGGAAACGGCTCCCTTGGTCCTTCCTCCATCCCCTCCTGCACCTTTCCCCTCCGTAGCCGTGCAGGGAGTTTCACAGGTTCAGACCTCAGCTCACACCAGCCCTTCCTCTTCTGGGCGGACAGAAACTAGGGATGTGAAAGGTTAACGGGTAAGCCTTAATGCAGCCAAGCCTTAATGGGTGAGGCTTACTGGTTCCAGTTAACTGGTTGGACTGGAGCAGCTCCCCACCCACTGTGGGCAAGGAGCTGCTCCAATCCCACAGGGCCCACCGTGATCAGGGGCACTCCGGCTTGGCCTCCTGCCCCCTCCTTTAATCAGTTAACCAGTTAATCGCTACATTTAACCGGTTAACCAATTAAATGGGATTTTACATCCCTAGTAGAAACCTTGGGTTCTCCGTGTGAGAGAGAAAAATGGCAGAGAGGGATGTGATGGTCTTAGAAACCAGCCCCCTGTTTGCACCAATCCCGTGGTACGCTTTGTAAGAGATGTCCCCACCCCCAGCTGGCGGGTGGGTGTTGGTACCCATTGCCCCAGGCCTGCCTGCGTTTCAGGGCTGTATAATTTGTGAAGTGCTTTGGGATTCCAGGGTCTATGCGCAAACAGGCTGATATTACAGTCCTCGGCTAGGAAGTATCCTCTTCCCTACGAGCTACTGCTGCATCTGCCTGTGGGTGTGGGTGTAACCCTCTTCCCCGCTGCTCAAGCCCTGTGCTAGCCCAGGCGCTACCGCGACGTGAGAGCTAACTGTTCTGTGTCGTGGGTGTGTCTTGTTCTCTTTGGAGTTCAGCGCAGTTGCACTCTCTCTCTCATCCCAAGAGCGGGGAACTTGGTGCATTAAGGGTTGTTTTTCCCCTGTAAAAGGGAAGGTTGAATCTTTTAGTTCCTTGGAGCATGGGCTGTAACAATTCATTAACGTTCCTCAGTATTAGTTGAAGTGAACTATTTGGGTTATAGCAGAACCTTGTGCTAGGCGCAGCGTGTACACATAAGAGACGGTGCCTGCTCCAAAGAGCATAAGAACGGCCAAAGGTCCATCTAGCCCAGTGTCCTGTCTGCTGACAGTGGCCGATGCCAGGTGCAGAGGGAATTAACAGAACAGTAATCATCAAGTGATCCCTCCCCTGTCATCCATTTCCAGCCCCTGACAAACAGAGGCCAGGGACACCATCCTTACCCATCCTGGCTGATAAGTATTGATGGACCTAACCCTCCATGAATGTATCTAGTTCTTTTTTGAAACCTTTTTAAAGTCCTGGTCTTCACAACATCCTCTAGCAAGGAGTTCCACAGATGGACGGTGTGCGGTATGAAGAAAAAAGCTTGCAGTCTAAGGAGATGAAACAGGATGTATTGCTAGCCCCATTTTATAGACTGACTAGCTTAAGATCAAACAAGGAGGATATAGTAGAGCACTGAATCCAGATCTTCTGAGGCCAGTCTAATCACAAGAACAGCCTTCCTTTCAGGGTTAATTGCCTTCATGACTCTGTGTGTGTGTCCTTCTCTTTCAACAGGACCCTTGAACATCTGTGAGGAAACAGCCGTTCTGCATGGCGGTTTCCTGCTAGCTGCGAAGTTGTATCATCCTAAAGCGTTGACCGAGTTGGCCAAATCTGACTGGTCCTTGGTCGGGCCGCCCATAACGGATGCCTTGAAGGAGATATGCACCAGGTGTTCCTCTCCCCCAGCCCAACCCAATGCGTGGAAGAAGAAAGCTGTTATCATCATCTGGGCCAAAATCCTGCTCCCCTGCCCCTCGTCCTCAGTGGGCTCTTCCTCAGTTGACCAACGATGGAAGGAAGATGTCTTCTTTTCGGTGGGCAGCATGATCCCGCGTATCAACCGCACCATCCTCTTCGAGCTGCTCAAGGCTCTGAATGCGCCGCGGCTCTTTGTGCAGCTGCTGCTGGCGTTGCCTGCAGCGGTGCGGCAGCGGGAGCTCGAGCTCTTTGTCAAGTACGTCGCGAACGAGACGTCCCCGGTGGATGTCGCCTTCTTCCTGGACGTCTGGTGGGAGATAATGAAACACAAGGAGGGTGAGCAAGACAAAATGATCTTGACGTTCGGCGCGCTGGTCCATCAGCACCTGTCCGAGGCTCCGGACGAGTCCTGCCAGCCTGCAAAGAGATTCAAGGGGGACCCCTTCTCCCAGCAGAGCTCCCACATGGCCCCCGGCCTGCTGATGGTTCTGGTTGATGGGCTAAAGCAGATCTACGGGAGCATCGTCCTCCCCAAGATGAAGTGCTGTGCGCTGGCCAACCTGGTGGAGCTGCTGTCGGTCTTCACAGTGATCGAGCGCGAGTCCGGTTCGCTGCCCGTCAAAGCTTATCTAGACAAGATTGCCTCTGTGGTCACCCTCTGGAACGACGACAGCGAGAACCGGTACAACAGGAGGAGTCTGGAGGAGAAAGTGAAGGAGGCGGAGAGGAGCGTCAGCTTGCTGTCCATGATCAAGCTGTCCGGCGAAGAGCTGTTTGTTGGCTTGAGCTTCCTCCGTAGCTTGCTCCAGGGCTGGGGGGAGGAGCTGCCAGGCCTGCCGCCTTCGGGAAGGACCTGATCGCCTTTGCCAAGTCTGGAGACCTGTGTGAGGACGAGAAGCAGATGGTGTTGGAACTGGGACAGATCATCGTGGACTTCCTCAAGAAGATCCACCCGAAGCTGAAAGGCAGGAATTCGGAGAGCAGCGTCATGGCTTTGGTTGCCATGGCTATTATTGAGAAGAAGATGGACCGGCACATGGAAACGGGAAGGACCTGATCGCCTTTGCCAAGTCTGGAGACCTGTGTGAGGACGAGAAGCAGATGGTGTTGGAACTGGGACAGATCATCGTGGACTTCCTCAAGAAGATCCACCCGAAGCTGAAAGGCAGGAATTCGGAGAGCAGCGTCATGGCTTTGGTTGCCATGGCTATTATTGAGAAGAAGATGGACCGGCACATGGAAATGTGCTCCATTTTTGCTTCTGAGAAGGCTTGGGCCTTTTCTAAGGCCTGGGTCTCCTGTCTTGTTAAAAACAAAGCCCTCTTCCAGAAACCGGAGCTGGTCTTGAAATTGCTGGAGACCACCGTGACGTTTAGCCTGTCCGCCGAGCACAGGGACAGCAAGGAGGGGCAGAGTCAAGCGATCAGAACCATTCTGGAATGTTACACCGCGCTTCCGCTGCCCGACAAGAACAAAGTGATCTCGGGCATCCTGACTTCTTGGGGCGGGAAGGGCCTGTCCCTGAACTTGAAGGCTTTCACGGAAGGGTTTCAAGAGGAGCTGAACTTGGCTTTCAACCAGATCACGCAGAGCGTGTCCGATCAAGGTCTCACCAAGGCCGTCGCCTCGGTGGCCAGGCTGGTTCTGCTCTGCCCCGAGGCCACGGTGAAGAAAGTCTGCAACCTCGCGGTCGTCAACCTGGGAACGCACCAGTTCCTAGCGCAGATCCTGTGCTCCTTTCCGGCCCTGAGGTTCCAAGAGACGCAAGACGAGCCGAACAAGTCGGGCAGCCTGGTGGAGAGATGTCTGAAGGAGAGTGTCTGGGGGAAACTCTCTTCTACGAAGGAAAAGGAGCAGTTCCTAGAGTTCTTGGCCTTTCTCATGCAGCCGAGCTCCGGTCAGCCTCTCCTCTCCCCTGCGGAGGTGACCAAAGCTTTTGTCTTTCCCCATTTGAAATCAGATTTTGCCCACATTGAGCTGAGCTTGCAGATCCTCAGTAAGGTTCTGGCAGTCCAGCCCAGTCCGGAGGAACATCTTCTACGAAGGAAAAGGAGCAGTTCCTAGAGTTCTTGGCCTTTCTCATGCAGCCGAGCTCCGGTCAGCCTCTCCTCTCCCCTGCGGAGGTGACCAAAGCTTTTGTCTTTCCCCATTTGAAATCAGATTTTGCCCACATTGAGCTGAGCTTGCAGATCCTCAGTAAGGTTCTGGCAGTCCAGCCCAGTCCGGAGGAACAGTGGCTCTTCTGGGCCTCTGCAAACTCCTGGATGGCTACACCAAGTACTGGCACCGGTTCAGGGACCAGCACTGCCCTGGGCTGGAGACCAAAGATCTGATTGCCACCACCCTCTCTCAGCTCTGTGAAGCGGTGGGGCAGAAAGCTGCCCCCTCTCCAGAAGTGTGGATCCAGTCGTTGGCCTGGCTGCACCGGAAGGTCGAGACGCTGGACTGGACCGTTGGTCTCCGGCTGAAAAAGCTTCTCGGGGACCACTTTAAGAACGAAGTCCCGGCGACGCTGTTTGAAATTTGCAAGCTCTCGGAGGACGAGTGGACGTCCCGGCCCCTCCCGGCCTACGGGGCGGGCAGCGGGCTGCGGGGCGGGCAGCGGGCTGCTGGCCCAGATGGAGTGCTGCTGCATCTCCACCACGCTGAGGGAGCAAATGCTTTCTCTCCTCGCCGTCAACATGGACAACCCAGAAGAAGTCAACTTGTTCAGCAAGGGTTTCCTGGTGGCCCTGATCCAGGTCCTGCCATGGTGCAGCCACAGCGAATGGAAGCAGCTCACGCACGTGATTGACAGCCTGCTGCACCGGCAGGTCCTTCACGTGCCTTACACGCTGGAGTACGTGCAGTACATGCCGCTGCTCAACTTCAGGCCCTTCGCCCGCCACCTCCAGTTCTCCGTGCTCTTGTTGAGAGGGTTCCAGTTGCTCTGCAGCTCTAGCTGCTCCAGCTGGCTGCCGGTGGAAGGCTGGCAGCATGTGGTGAGACTCTACTGCAGCAGCCTCACCGACCTGCTGGGCTCGGTCCAGAGGGAGTCCCTCTCTCACCGGCAGTCTGACGACGACAGGGACCCCACGCAGGAAGTGTCCTTCATCTACATCCAGGTTTTCTGCCACGTGTTGCACGTGGCGGCCATGCTGCCAGATGACGGCACCGGCGAGCCGCTCCTGGTCCTGGCCCTGGAGATCCTCTCGCAGTACAAAACGCTCAGCGCCTCTGACAAGTCCTTGAACAGCACGCTCCGGAAGGCCAACGAGAAGCATTTCCTGGAGTCCATCACTGACAACGTCCGCGACAAGGAGCTCCGGGCCACGCTCCTGCAGAAGCTGAGCAAGCTGTGAGCTGTCTCAGGCAGCCAGCCGGTCACAGCTGGAGTGAAACAGCATCTCAGCTCCACAGATCATCAACGCTCGGAGGCACGATAGAACGAGACACACCGGTGCCGCCCGGAGACTAAACCCTACAACGATGAGTAGTTATTGGAGATTTGTAAGATCTATAATAAACCTTTTCTTTTGGACTTCTTTTGGTAGCCCTCCTTTTGAACATCCCGAAGAGTGTCGTGATGTCTCACGGGGTCGCTGTGTTAGTCTGTAACTTTAAAAACAACGGGGAGTCCTGTGGCACCTGAGAGACTTAACCAAACTATGGGTCTAGTGTATCATAGGAGTGCCAGGGTGTGTGTAGAAATTGATGGCTACGTATTCCCGTGACATATGCCAGTCAGCCTCCATGTTAGCTGATCTTGACGTGCACGTCAGCCGTTGCATCTGCTACTCCAGTCTGCTCTTTAAATATCTAACAGCTGTGTTTGTTGTTACGGAGTCTTGCCCCAGGCCTACAGCCCTGAGATGCTCCGCTTCCACTAGCTATTTAGTAACTGCCCACCTTACCCCGCAGAGCTCTTAAGAAATGGGGCTTAAATCATCATGGGCACATTGTGACACCACCACCTGCCTGCCAGGGCAAATTAAATAACACCCCTAAATCTCTAGCAGCTCTTGATGAATCAGGGTTGCTTCTGGGCTGGGCTGGAGTCACAACTGGTAAACCTGCTTCGTCCCTTCCCCCCCTCGGCCCGCCATCTAGAGTCTGACCATATAGAAAGTGCCCGTTGTACAAGACAGACATCCACCAGCCATAGGCACTGAAAAGAGGGCTTTACTGGTCTCTCTCCCGAGAAGTGTAGTAGTAAGTAGGGGCAAGGTTAGTGCAAACTTGAAAATGGCCTCAGGGCTGGTTTTCCTTTCTGTTACACAAGGCAAATCATTTGTAACACAGACAGCAAGATTAAAAATGTCCGAAACACTGACAGCGCGTCACAAAGGGGAAATCCACCCAGCGGGCCGGCCTTTGTAGTTCACCAAACACAGGCGTAATTGGTCAGTCACTGCAGGGATGCACTGTTGGAGCTAAACCTGGAAGGAGCCAATATCTTTGTTCTTCCAGGCACATGCGACTATCTCCAGGGTAAGGCCTGATGGTTGAAGGATCTGGGCTTCAGAGAGCTAAGTGCTTTCAAACGTAATCTTCAGCTCTCGTGGTAAGTAAAAGCTCCAAGGCAGCCTATCCCATTGTAAACTCCCTGCTCCAGAGAGAGCTACGGGCCAGATTTGCCTCTTGGGCCACTCTTGCTTTGGTGGAGTTATTCTCCAGGCATGAATGCAGCCCATTGATGCCGGCACCTGAGGTTCCAAAGAGCCGGTGTTTCTTGTGTACACGGTCATTGTCCATCAGGCTCTGTGCTCATAAGGGTTGGCAGTTTGTTCGTGCACCCGGCAGGCTCTTTAATCCACAGTTCTAAAGAAAGAGCCGGTTCTCGGTATTACAGCCAAGTGCTGCAATCTGGGGCCGGGCTTGCAGGAGACGTGGTCCTAAGTGGGGTCAGGGATTTCGTCAGCGCAGCAGAGCGCGTGGGCCACTGTTCCCTCTCGTCTTTTCCACCCATGTGCGGAATAAGCGTATGTGCACCAAAATATGTGTGAATGTGCACCACCAGCAGAAGCAAAAAAACCTAGCTGTTGGCACTCTGCTAATGAGTTGGGTGGCATTGGAATCGTTTGAGTGGTCGCATAAGTGCACCGCTTCCAGGGAACACTGGTGTGGGGCCAAGTCAGCGCTGGGGTAAACGGATAGAGGACTAGACCAGGGTGGCCAACCCATTAAATGAAAAGAGCCAAAACAGTGGTGGGAAAAATGCGAAGAGCCACACCAAAATTGTTGAGCCAAAAAAAAGAGAACTCCCCACCAGCCAGAGATAAGGGGGAAAAAAATAAAAAAAGGGACGCTGCCCCTTTAAAAACTGTAGGCAGGCTTTTTGGCCACATCAGGCTCCCATCAACATTTGCCGTGCCAGGTGGCTCCCCTGTACCCGGTGAGCACGGGGGGCCAATCGTAGGGGCATGTGGGGCAGCTTCACGAGCCACGGGGCAGCTTTGCGAGCCGCACTTTCAGGGGTGAAAAGCCGCATGTGGCTCGTGAGCCGCGGGGTGGCCACCCCTGGACTAGACTAAGGGGGTGGCAGGCAGTGATCACTGTTCTGGTGCAGCCTCGTATTGCATTTCACCTATAATTCCTGGCTCCGGTTTCTTCTCTGTTTTTTTCCCACCAAGACCAAGTTAGTGGCTGCGTAATCCGAGTCCTGGGGGAACATGGCACTTACCTTTACATGTAGTGTGAGCAAGGGACAAATTTGTGTTTAGCAGCAAGTAGAAACGTCCACCGAGGCAATGGGCCAAATTCAGCCATGGCCCAAGGGTGGTGTAAGGGGAGCAGACTGCTCAGAATATCACCCTCTTTTTATCACCCTCTTTTGTGTTCCTTCAGGGCCAGGTTCTGCTCTCAGCTGGAAGGGTGTAAATCAGATTAACTGAATCTGAGTGAGGTGAACTTGCCCCTCTGTGTGTACGACGGGCTAGTTTTGCACAACCACCGAATGCCAGGTCAGCACCAAAGACACCCCCCCGCCCCGAGAGGTTGCCCACACCACTGAATTTGGCTCAGACTCTCCCAGCGGAGTTACACCCACGTAAGCTAGGTTTGGGTCTGCATGGTCGTCAATTTCCCCTGTTCAGTGATCAGAATCTTTGTAACAAACCCTCTTGCCTCTCCTCTCTGTAGTGCTTTCCTTACACCGCCTGCCAGGTTCTCCCACAGACAGAAGGACACAGGACACTCGAGTGTCACAGAAAGACTGTCCTTCTGTAACAGCCTGGTGCTGCTTCCTTGAACGGCAGCAGAGACAACACGGCTGCTTTCAAGTAAAACAACCTCCCAGCACCAATGGGCAATGACGCTCTGGTCCCAGACTGGGACCTACAACGCGGATTGGAATGGCAAGGCCGCAGGGCGAAGAGCCAGGATACTGGCTTAGTCTCCGACCTTGTGGTCTGCAGCCTCTGCCGGCCATTATCGGTTCTTGTCGGCCGGCGACCTGCCGTAGAGCCGGACGGCTTTCTTGCAGATCAGCACGAACCAGTAGAGCTGTGGGGCGATGAGGGAGGCGTTGGCCACATTGCAGTGCACGGGGATGTGGAATGGCGCCATGTAGAGGGGGATCCCCACCTGCCTGGCGTAGGCCCCGTACATGAATGGGAAGAGGAGGATCCGGCAGAGGAAGAATGTCACCAGGATGAGAATCCCGTTCACCTTGTGCAGGAGCGTGTCCTGCATTTTCAGCTGCAGGGGGAGGAGAAATGCACAGTGAGGGCTGCGTACAGAGAGCGGGACAGCCCCTTTCTACCTGGTTTCTGTCCCTGCGGCGCCAGAGCAAACGGAGATGTGTGGACAGAGGGAACCAGTCCTTGGGTTAAAGCTCTGTGGGCCTGACCTAGCACATAGAGAAGACAAAAGAGGCTCTGGCCCCAGCAAGAGACAACAACAGGACTGCCTGCGAGGGGAGCAGGGTGACCACCCAGGAGAGATTCAGCTGCCGCCTAGCTATGAGCAGAGTGCCCACAGCCGGCAAAGCGCGTGTGTCTATTGGTGGTGCACATCTGCCCATTCCTGGGTGCACACAACAAAATGTATTCCACTCCCCAATGGAAAAGGTTTAAGGGAATGCTGGTCCTGACCGCCTGCTTTCCCCACAATGGTAAAGAAAAGGGGCTTTCTGGTTGGGTGGAAAGTGGATCCAGGTGGATCGTGGGGTGGTCAAGGATGAGACCCGCCCCACAGCTGGATGTCCCAGGCAACCTTGCTGTTAGTGTTAAGGATAGAACAATACCCCCGCGCCCCCGGTTCTCTTTAAAGGTCCCTATGGGCCAGCCCTACCTGCATAAGGATTTTGCCCAGTGACACGAACGGAGTGCTCAGTTCCGCCACAAAGATGCAACCGACGAAGAAATCGCCAAGCTCTCCTCTGAGGTACTGTAAACAACCAGCGTGATTAGTGCGGGCACCTTCCTCATGGCCAAACAGGGTCCAGTCCAACCCCCCACCGCCACCAACAGCCGGCTTCCCATTGCTTTCAGTGGAGCTGGCTCGTGCCCCACCTGAACGAAGCTAGAAAGAAGGTAACTAGGAGTACCGGGGGGGGGTGTTGCAGCTTCTCTCTGGGTACAGATGCCCCCCACCCCTGCCAGGAGGTGAATGAGGAAGCAAAGATTTCTAAACTTGCAGAAGAAGATGCTAACGGATGGTGAGAGATACAGAGCCAGGGTTCACAGACTGACTGAAGCTTCTGCGCGACTAAATGTTATATTCAGACTAAACTGGGTTCCAGGCCTGATAGGTTCAGAATAACTGTGGGAGCTGCGCATGGCATGTTTCTTGTAGACACCAGGAAAGGGGGTGCAGGGTTTTGGCTGTCCTGTCTTCAGAGCCCGTGAAATGGCCTGCATGGGAGAGATATGGGGTGCCTGTGTTCCCAGGCGTAGATGCTGGAACCAGGGGTGGGGCGTTGCTTCAGCACCCCTGACTTGTGGTTTCCATTAGGTGCAGGGTGTACAGTCTGGTTCAGCGGCTCTCTGCGCCCGCATTGGCAAGATAAAGGGCGCCCTGAAAGTAAGGCGGTGGGGTGCGTTCCGTTGCGCCCTAGGGGATAGGGCGTTGGTCTGGCTAAAGCAGGGTGGCGGGTTCTAGTCTCGCCCACCCGGGGAGAGGCAAGACAAGCAACATGCAGTGTGCCCCAGTGGAAGGCAAGATAAAGGGTGCCCTGAAAGTTAGGTGGTGGGGCAGGTACGATGGCCTAGGAGATAGGGCGTTCCCACACCACTGTCCCCAGGTGGAGAAAGGCCCCCTGGAGCCACGGGATAGGGGGAAGCCATGGAGCAGAGTGAGGTGGAGCTGGGTGCGGGGAACCTGGCTACCACGGAGGGGGGGGACAATCAAGGGTGAAATCCAGGGCAAAGCTCCCATGGATGAGTATAAACCAGGATTTCACCCCTGTGTTCCATGACCACCCAGGAAGTAATGGGACCCCGATCCAGGATCCTGCCTGCCTAGGCGTTGCTCCCAGCCCGGAACCTGGCGAGCACCTCACTGCAGGTCTCGCCCTTGCCTGCAGTTTGATGAGTAATCCCGCCGGCTGCCCCTTACCTGTGCGACAGGTGTGAGGACAATGAGGATGAAGAGATGGTGGGTCACCATGAGGCGATCCTTCTCCAGGAAGCTCCTCACGCTGGCCAGCGAATGCTTCTTCTCCGAGGTGTCTTTGCTTTTGTGCCAGTGGCAGAGGTACATGACGTATACGTCGTAGATCATATACGGGACCACAACCCAAACATATTCTACTGCGAGCCAGTACCTAAGGGGAGGAAGAGACCTCGCATTACCAGAACCTCGTCCACACACAGATAACGGGGAGGCGGAGGAGGTTCGTGCTCCTGCTTCACTGGCATGATACTCCAGTTTCAGGCCAGCCTAGCTGTTGTCTGCAAGGTCCAAAGGAAAACTGCCCTCTAAAAGGCTGCCCCCAGCTATGAGTACCCGCGTTACCCTTTCCATAACAGGTTTGTTCAACCTTCCAAAGCTAGGCAGTGGCAGCTACTCTGTAGAACAGTGGTCTCCAACCTTTTTACACCCAAGATCACTTTTTAAATGACAAAACAAGCCAAGATCTACCGCCGCAACCTTCCTCCAAGACTCCGCCCCTTCCTTGAAGCCCACCCTCTCTGTTCTCCTTTCCATCACTTGCTATCCCCAATCCTTATACTGCTGCTTTTCTCTTTTTTTTTTCAATTCTTCTGTAGGAAGAGGTTTTTCCAACATTTGGCCTGTCTAGACTGGACCAAATGTCAGACAAACCCCTTCTTTTGGAAGCCCCCTTATTCCTTGTGGAAATAAGAGAAGGGAAGTCCCAGAATGCGCCTCTGGGGACTCGCCTGGTAAGCTCCCGGCACACCACAGACCTGGGGCAAGGAAGCAGCCAGTGCATTTCTGGAATCCCCGGAAGTGATGTGCCGCTCAGGACTTCCATCCGCCCAGCGGGAAGCCCCGACTACCTCCATTGTCACTGGAGGTAGGGGATGGGGGAAATGGGGTGCCCGGAACGCCTGACGATTGACTGGTCGATCGCGATCGACGGGGTGGTGACCACAGCTGTAGAACATCCCCTGTCGGAGGCTTTCATAGTGCTGCTCTCGCCTCTGCCCCCGCGGAGATGGGGCTGGGGAGAGACTGCTTTTAAGCCCTCCCAGCCCCTTGCAGCCTCTAATAGAGGCAGTGAGAGGGGAGGGGTCAACTGCCCAATAAGCCTAGGTTTATCAGGTAGTTGTCCAGTCACTTACATCCCTACCTGAACCGATCCCACGTGTCACAGGCTGGGTATGAGGCCCGAGGCCCAGACAGCAGTGGTCAAGGCTTCGTTAATATAAAGCAGAGTTAAGCTGTGAGCAACAGGCAGGGTTGATAGTACAGAAACACTCAGACCTAGGGGCTACATCTACACTGGCCAGTCTTGCGCAAGAACATATGCAAATGAGGCACCGTTTTTGTTCAAGGAGCCGTCTACACGGCTCCTTGTGCAAAAACCCCCTCTTGTGACAGCCATTCTGCCTGAAAATAAGCGGCAGAACAGCTCTTGTGCAAGAGGGGATTTCTGCACAAGAAGGAGCAGTGTAGACCGCAAAAATGGTGGCTCGTCAAGTATGCAAATGAAGTGCAGTGATATTCATCGCCACACCTCGTTTGCATATGTTCTTGCACAAGACTGACCAGTGTAGACGGAGCCAAGAGGTACTAGGCACAGGCTGTGAACATCTTCCAGAGGGGTTGTAACAACACCTTGGGCTCGTCTACATTGGCCCCTTTTCCGGAAGGGGCATGTTAATTTCCTTTGAAGTAGGAATAAGATCCTCCGGAAAAGGGCGCTTTTTCCGGAGGATCGGGGCCAGTGTAGACGCTCTTTTCCGGCTTTTCTAAAAGCCGGAAAAAAGCGGCGGACATTTTTATTTAAATGCTGCGGGGGATATTTAAATCCCCCGCGGATTTCCCTATTCCGACTCGTGAAATTAACATGCCCCTTCCGGAAAAGGGGCCAATGTAGACATAGCCCTTGTGTAGAAACATCTGTGGCAGTGTCAACCCCTTCCCTACAGATAACAGGCATACCGACCCAGGTTCAGGACTGGGTCTAAACTTAATAGCATGACAGATGGTAATTAAACCCCCTTTGTATGAGGAAAGGGGTGGTAACTAAGCAACAGGAGGTGGCCACCTGGTACATCAGGAGGGATGTGTAACTTGTTTGCACCTGGGTATAAAGGTGAACCCCAAAGAGGTGTCTTTGTCTGGCTGAGGGGGCAGGGCCAAATTCCATGGCCCTGACTGAGTTGGTCCATTGTACCAGTATGTTAGCCTCATTGTAGACCCTTTGCTCCGGGGAAACTAGGACTGTGCCTCATCCACAATAAACCTGGCCGGGTGTCATTAATCCTTAGCTGATTGTGTGGGCTTCAGGGGGCTCTCTCGGAGGCTGCTGTTTTGACTAATTGTGCAGGGTCAACACAGTAAATGGGGAGCAAGCGCTCGAACACACGCAGCTGGTTATCATGGATGGAGCAGGAGGCCTATCAGAACACTCCTGGTGAGGGCTGCCTGCTGCTCCAAATAGCTGAGATGCTACCTGGGCATTGCCACAGGCTGGCAGGCAGCTGCAGCATCAAACCGGGGGCTCTGTCCTGTCAGGAGCTGAGCGTTCGGCTCCTGACGCAGCGCCGTGCAGGACTGAGCTCTGGGATTGCTGCTTGCAGGGCGAGGCGCTTGCACTCACGTGCAGTCCCACGCCTAGTGGAGCAAGGCTTGTAGGACTGGGTTTGTCACAGTGCCGTGCCTCGGTTTCTCCATCAGTACAGTGAGGATACACACCTCCCTCGCCCCTGTTAATTGCGGGTTGTAACGCACTTTGGGATCCTTGGGTTAATCCCCATCAGCTGCTTCTGAGATGGCTGCTTGAAAGGTGTGGGAGAAAACTGCAGAGTGTTTTATGCAGAAAATCCCCCAGGATGTGTGATTATTGGGGAAACAACCGCACGCTGCAGCCTGCTCTCAACGTGGTGTGGTGTCACAATTGCACAACCTAGAATAACTGTAACCAATGCCTTGCACAGAGACCGGAGCCCTCATAAGAACAGCTGGAAGTGTACTGATCAGTAACTTCTGTGCAGGAACGTCTTCTGAGGCCCCCACAAGCTCTGTTGTCTAAAAGACACATTTTCCTTCCATTCCTGTCAGATGGGCCGGGAGGCAGGCCAGGAACTGTAAGGTCAGAAAGAATCACCCACTCGTCTAGTTCCTCCTGTATATCACAAAAAGCTACGGACACCACTCAGCCCCCGCACACTGAACCCAACAATCAGAATTTTACTCATGTTAAAATTCGACACTTACCACCAGGGACTTAACAAGTCTTTGAACTTTCTCACCCATTATCAAGACAGTTTCCCCAATTATCACCTGTAATACCATTAACTCACAAACATCCCACTCTCCCTACCTCTAATATCATCAATTCACAGACACTTACCTTCCTTCCTCCCCCTTCCCACCCCCCCGCCTCCTCCTTCTGTTCTGCAATGTGATTTGTCCTTTTCATATTTGTTCTTTTTTTTAATTGTATCCTTTGGTATATATGGTTGTGACTACTTTCTTCCACTATTTGATCTGAGGAAGTGGGTCTGGCCCACGAAAGCTCATCATCTAATAAACCATCTTGTTAGTCTTTAAAGTGCTACATTGTCCTGCATTTTGCTTCAACTACCCCAGACTAACACGGCTACATTTCTATCACTATTTTACAGTCCATGGTTACTCTGTTTGCACCGCACTTACCACTCTGCAGCCCTAGTCCTGATCAGGGCAGATAAGGGTATGTCTAGGTCGCACTGCTCTTTTGGGACACCGGAAGTATCCCAAAATAGCAACGCCGCATCTTTAAAAAGTGCCCGCTATTTCCCAAAATAGCGGGTGTGCTATTCTGGTGTCCCTGTAACCCTCGTTCCATGATGGCTAAGGGCTTTGTTGGAACAGTGCCTTATTTTTAAATTTCGCGCTGTGTCATCAGCGCTAAATTTCAAAATAAGCTCTTTCGATTTAGAGTTGGAATAAGTTACGCAATTTGCATAGCGCAAATGGCGTAGCTTTTTCCGACAGAAGGGTGCTGTCCAGACACACCCTAAGAAGTCCCACAGTACCAATAACGAAATAATTGTTCTTTGCCGATGTATATTGAGTTTCTGATTACTGTAAGCTTGAGAGACCCCCAAGTTCCAGGCTGTGCAGACCCTTTGTCATCCTTTTCCATGACCAGCTCTGGAGAAAACGGTGTTAAATACCTGTTGAAAATATCAAGCGATGGCTGTACGACAGAGCTTACACCAGCTGGTGCACTACTAGTGCAGACACTTTTAACTAGGAGAGAGCTCTCCCATTAATTTATTTCCTCCAGCTTCTGCAAGTGGCGGTAGTTATGTCTGTGGGAGAAACCATCCACATAGCACTCAGGTTGGTGTAGCTTACATCATTCAAGGGGTGGTCTATTCACACACCTGAATGACATAACTTACACCGACTTCAGAGGTAGTGTGCATAACCTCTACATTATCCCTCCAGCCCATTATGTTTGAAAGGGTGACAGGCAGGCTGATAAATATATAGCTCAAGGCAAGAGGAATGATTTTAAACAGGACTTAGCCGGTTCACATGCAGCCAGAGGGGTTTAACTGTGGATTTCTTATAATGGAAAGCGGTGATCAATAGCCCCGTGACTTTGCCTGATCGTTTCAGATTTCACACAATATGCAGGGTTGAACAAGTGTGATAGCTGGATGGGAAACCTCAGATAATTAGAAATCTTGTGGCACTTTTCAAGGCTTTAACTCTGGAGCCCTGACCAAATTGTAGCTCAGGTAATTTAATTTTCTCCTATAATCACCCCTGCTGTTCCAGGTCGCTATAGTATATTAAGTTTACTAGTCTACATTGTTATTCTGTCGTGAACTATTTAGAGAGAAGTAACACTTCACCCTAGAGGTGGTGTCATTTCAATATTGGGTGAAATGATTTCTTTGCATAGCATAGTTCCTATATCATTTTAATAGTTGCAAAGGACTTTAGAATCCTTTGAAATGAAAAACACTATATAAAAAGGTGCCTTTAATTTATCTACTGCCCATATTCTCTGTGGGTTTTCCTCGTTAGGAACTAGGATTCTGAATGTGCTTGATTTCTGTTGGGAAAGTGATCTTGTTTTGGTTTTCTTTTTGCCCACTGTACACATTAAAATCTAAAATGCATCAGTGATGGGGGAGATTACCTTATACCGTTCTTTTTTAAAGTGGAGAGAGTTTTCAAAAAGCCGGTACTTTTCAAAGAATGGCATTTCTGGAGCATTTCCTTACAGCTGATTTGAACTGTGAGGGAAGGAGAACACAGGAAGTTTTTTCCTAGCTCCTCTTTACACCCTTCCTCTTTCTCATGAAAACGTATTTATGGGCTGCCTGCCCAGCATCCCTGTTAGTAATTCTTGTATGGTCTGTGTAGCATTGCAGACTGGCTGTGATTTATGTGAGGTTTAATTACCTGTCATGGACCACATCCTTGCAATTAAGGACAACAATGATCCCAGAAACAGTAGCCATCATAGCTTGGACAGAAGACACCACCCTGAAATTGACAAATAAGGAAAAAGAGTCATAGTCATGCTAATCGGCTATGATTAGAATGAAAGAGCCTCCCTCATTGGAAGGATCACTGATTAAAAAGGTGCAAATTTACTTGTCTTATACTCTGAACCTTTCTAGTGTCATAAACATGATGGTATCTCCCTCCCACATGCAGCGTGAAACGTGCTGGTCCTTGTTGATGTAAGCTGACTCAGCTCTGTTGAAGTCACTGTAGCTACACCAGTTTATATCCGCTGAGGACATGGCCTGCAGCTTTTCTTTATAGGCCTAATCCTGTTAAACACCTTGCCGAGAAATAAAAAGGCATAGTTCCTAAAATGTACATGTGCTTGTCCAGTAACTGAAGGATGCTACACTGTCCCAACTCCACGTAGCTTACACTCTAAGGTAGGAAACGGTTCAACATGGACACACTAGAGCAGAAACATGCTGTTTGTTTCTAGATGGCTTTTTGCATGTGCACAGAACACAATGTATGTGAATGAGAACCATGCTGTGACATTAGTATACACACATCACGCAAACACTGTGGTGGCCAGAAATGTGCTCTTCTCTTTTGGATCCAAGTAGCTCACAGTCTGCACAAGTCAGAAATGCTTTGTCTATCTAGACTCATGCTGCACAAACACACAGTCTCCCCATGTCAGGAATAAGCTCTTTTGTTCTACATGCCCATCCTTACACCCACACTGGCCATGTCAGGACCATGCTGTTCTATCCTAGATCTGGGGGTAAACCCACAGGTTCCATGCCCTAAAACAAGCTTGCTCCATACCCAAGCCGGGCCTCCCATATCTACCCAGCTGTTTTTAACAATGTTGTGCAATGCTGCTAATGCCTTTCCCCCTTCAGGGTGGAACGCCTGGCCAGCATGAAGCTACCCATGGCAGTGACAGGTGTGGGCACACCCTTGCCTATCACTGCAGCAGACGGTGCCTGGACTCTGCACACACCTATCAACTGTAGATCCAATCTATTCCTCTCCCACACGCTGCAGGGTTAGGTGCCTCCTGCCATTAGACCCGTGTCTCTCACACCTGCCCATGTCAGTCCCATGCTGCCCTGTCCTGGATGCCCATCACTGCCCATGCCAGCAACACTGGGTTGCGTCTCATACGCTGCCTCAGCCCAGCGGTTTTCAGATGGGAGCGACGCCGGATGAATCACCGCCCCCACCCACTCCAGAGCCCCCGGTGCCCGCCGGTACCTGCTGCTGAGGAGGATCCGGTCTTTGAGGCTCCCTCCCGGG